CTTTTGAACATTTATTTACAGATTAGCAAAGGAAAAGGCTCCCATGCATCATGCATCACATCTGATTCCCACCCCCATTGCTGCAGTGAATAGAGGGAGCTTGACAGTGCCAGACATTTTTCCTTTTGCTATGCCTGCTATGGATCACCAAGGCATCCCTCGGATTGAGGATAAGGAAAAATAAACCATCTGGGTTCACCCTTGATTTGTCTTCAATTTTATTTTTTCTGTGGTTGGTTTTTCTCTCCCATGCTGTATTTTCTATCTGAGTCTGTGAACTGAGGGGTTGGGGGGGGGGAGCGTGTTTTGTTTGAGCAGCGTGTTTCCAATAAAAATATAAACCTTGAAATATTAGTGGATAGCTAAAAGCTACTTTGGTTGGAAGGCTTTGGCCGGCATCTTTCAGGCCATACGCAGAGCGGGGGGGCTTACGTGGTGCACCCAAGTCAAGGCTAGACAAGGCTCCTGTGTTCATCTAGTCCGAGCTATAACAATGTAGATCATCACACTGCTCCAAAATAAAGCCAACCCTCCCACTGTAAATTAAAAATGATCAATGATGAGGAAGCCTCCCAAAGCCTTGGTAAATTGGTCCAATGTTTTAATTACTCCCGCCACTAAAAGCTTAGTCTGTAGTCTGAATTTGTCTAGCATCAGCATCCAGTAGTGGATGCACGAATTAAAGAGGTTACAATAGCCTCTGTGCTCCTGCTAGCTAGTCCCCTATGTATGCAGCTAGCAGGAGCACCCTGATCACAATGGGAACTCATGTTCAGCTGAGTGTCACCAGGATTCCCTCCAATCTTTTTCAAAGTCACTGCTTTCCAGAATAGAGTGCTCCAGCCTATAAGGATGGCCTGCCTACACGTACACAGAGGAGAGACAGGCAAAATGGAGTGGGACATTTGTCCCTCCTCCCCACCCCAGCTCTTTGTTCTTAACCATTTTGCTCGCCTCTTTCATTTGGCCAATCCCTCTCACATGTTAATGAAGTTCAAGATTTGGAGTTGTTTGCCATCCACGCTGCACTTTTCCAGCATAGGATAAAATGAGGGTAGGTCTAAGTTTTGTGGAGTCTACTGGGAGGTGATGATTAGATCAATTAAACTCTAATACTTGGCTTTAATCACTTTTAATTGGTTCACCAGAGCCCTCTGCCTCCCTCTTCCATTACAAGAAATTCACTGCAGAACCCAGCAGGCATGTAAACACTGCAACCTCTCTGAAACATGTAAACTGAGTGTTTCTGTTACTTAAATGCCTTTGGCTACATTTCTCCCCTGTTAATATGAAAATATGCATCCTGCAGATTGGCCAGTAAGACTGGTTAGAAGGCTCTAGTATGAGAATAACTAAAACTCTGGGGGATTCTGTCATGATGAAAGTTTTATTGGATTTGCATGCCAGGCGGTTTAATTTTCACACTGTACCAAAGGGATACTTTCCCTCTGAACTCCAGCCTGTGACTAACAGTGGGAAATGGGAAGGTGTTGATGCAGACCTAAGGCCTTTGCAAGACTGGCCAAATGGTTGCCACCAATCTGGATGGCATTCTTAAAACACAAGAGGGTCATTTTGTGGCTTGTGCCAGCAGGACTGCAACAAGCTAAAAATGACAAAAGAGAAGTTGATCTCTTTTTAGTTCAATTCTCCTGATGGGATAATAGTGGAAAAGACCATTTAACTGTTTCAGAACCAAAAATGTTCCTTGATGGTGGTGACATCATAGGATGGGCCTGCCCTTTAAAAGGAACTGGGTTAGCCCTTCTGCCTGTGATTAAACAGCTGCTGCCTTCCAGGTGAGAGAAAGGTCAGACAAGAAATTAGCTCAGAGATGAGAGTTACAGGGTATAGAGTGGGTCTGGGGGTGAGGAAAGGGTTTTAGTAATGTCAACTAAGTGAAAGAGCTAGGTGGGGGAACTTGCTATGTAACCAGCATTAGAAATAGATGCCTTACAAGGAGCCATGCAGCAGGACTGGTGTGGTGTTTTGACTGATGTTTGTTTGACCAGTAAATAGGTTCTTGTGAAAGGAAAAGAGCTTCCTTTCATTGATACAGCTGGCTAGTGAGTTGGTTCATCACTATATGCAAGAAAACAGAGGCAGGGTCCAATATTAAGTTTAAGGTGACCTCTTTATATGTTGCCTGTAAGAACAGCGGGGGGGGGGAGGGGGAAGCCTGTTTAAAGAGACAAACCATAGCTACTAGATTTAGATCCTTTTGTCCCTAACTACTTTCCTATAATAGCCCACATGTCCTTTCTACCCCTGCTGATATGACTTTTGGGCTTGACTAGCAGGGGTAAAATTGGCATAGTTCTATTGACTTCAGTAGAATTGCAGATGTGGTCATACATTTAAAAGTCTCATTACTTTACATCACTGTAAATTAATAAGAGTAACTCCACTGAAGCAAGCACAATTCTGCTGATGTAACAGCAGTGTAAATGAGATCAGAACTAAATACTAAATCTGCAAAAATTCTAAACCACATTCTAAACAGAAGTCTAAAAGAAAACTTTGGAGAACAATGATACTTAAAAGTCCAATGTCTTATAAATTCTGTTCCAAAGATGCTATTGCCATGCTGGGAAAAGTTTAAATGCTGGTGGGCATAATTTGTAAATTAAAGGAGAAGCTGGAACTTGAATACGGTTTCTAAAGGGGAGGATAAATGTGCACAAATGCCTGCTGAGCAGAATATAAAGCACCCAAAGTGCCAGAAATCCCATTATGATTTGATGGCCACGAACTGATTGAAAACACATACCTGAAAGCAGCAGTGATGAATTCAGTAAAAGTAGGCTCCTCTGATATTTGATGCCATGGTGAGAAATTCAGTCTCTTATCAGTTGGATCAGTACAATGGATACAACTCTGAGAGATTTTTCAGGAAGGAATGCACTCCATTCTGGCTGAATTAATAGTCCCTTTTACAGCAAACAATATTGCATCTTTGGGATAAAAGTCCTTCACAAACTATAGGCAGGGATCGGCTGAAACCCTAGTAATGTTTGCTCCTAAGGTGGAACATGGCAGCCATTTAACAGCATAAAGTGCAACTTAAAACCAGCTTCCCAAAAGATCTGGGCAAGAGAGATTGATAATAAAAGGGAAGGAAGCCAACTGTATAAACCCAATATTCTAGTTACTTCATATTCCAGCACCGTGGTTATGAACAGAGCTGTGTCAATCCTCTAAGACCCAAATGTCAGTATCCAGCTTGAAGAGAGACGATGTCCTATTTGTGATTATATATTTTCTATATCTTTTTTTTTGTACTACACTCATCAAATACTGTTATCACCATGACAAATTACAATTTGGATTAGTAAAACTGAAAATATTTTACATTCGCTTTTTGCACTATTTATGCTATATTTATACTATATATTTTCTTGGATTAATGTGTATAGGATAGTTAATTACACTGTTGTTTCTAGGCAGTTCTGCTTTCCAGTTCTCATGAACTAGGGTGCAGTGGTAATGTTTGCTTTAAGTTGCCCTCTGGAATTTAAAAGTATTAACACTTGAATCATTTCTAACAGATGTGTTATTGAAATACTCATATTCTTCAAAAGGCAGATCCTCAACTGCTATAATTGGTATGGACTTCAAGAGAGCTATGTTGATTTACACCAGCTTAGGATCTAGACCAACCTGTGCATTAGCAATACAAACTGAAGAGAAATACAAAGAAGGTTTAATACATAATGAGTCAGATGCACCACAGAGTAAAAAACACATCTCCATAGACATCAGTGGATTGTACCCCTTTATGATCTAGTCCTATGTCTTTGCAGACCCGCAACAACTCATGTTGCTTTCGACCTCAAAGAAAGAACACTTCCTGTCTCATGTCAGCCTTATTATCTAAGGGCAAGATAATATTGCTGAGTTTAGTCCTTTGACTTTCTCCATGCTTAGTTCTTGCTGAGCTGAGATTTGGATGTAATTCTTTCTAAACCAAAAGCTGGAAAAAAAGACTTCTCTTATTCCCAGGTGAGTGTTGAGATGACTGATATGTGTGCCAAAAATCTACTGTTCTTCCAGAGTTGACAGTAAATGGCCCGAGCACATATATGAGGGTGAACACAAGAGATGCTCCAATTATTGCTCACAGGATTGATGCAGGGCTCGAAGAACACACACTCTCCAGTTTTATTCTTGCACCATTTACAGCCATGGCAGGTTTAGCCTATAGGCAGCCAAAATGGAGGTCAAAGCGTCACTGCTAAATGCCTCTTTACTAAGGATCCAGTATATAGCATGATTTGCATTTGCAAAGGTCTTTGAAAGCTTCTGATGAAAGGTGCTGGAGAACCACACTGTATTAGCTAATAGTAATTGCTTCAATAAAAGGAAAGCTAGAATCCCGTAAATAGGCCGACATCTTTCCAAGGGGCAAATCCTGTTGCCAATCGGTATACAAAACTCTCACTGCTTTGAGCAGTACAAGAGTAGGACCTTCATTTACAACCCTCCAGTCTGCATCCGCCCTGTTCTCCTGGGATGAGTAAGTCCCTTTCCAAGATCAGGGAGAACTACAAAGCTTGTGATTTCTCCTCCCAACTCCAAAAGTAGCCACACTCTGGCAAGACTGGCAAAGGAAGGCCCGGCCTGTTCTGTGCCTTTTCCCCATCACCTGTTCCCCTCTAGCTGGGTCCGTAAATGCTTTGGGTTAGATGGATTTAGAAAGCTAATACTTTCCCATGCCACTTGTGCTCTTGGCTGTCAGACCTTGTGTTGTGAGGAGCAGCTAACAGCGGATTCTCTCCTGGCTGCTCCTCCTTCTTGTATTACATTCTGGGCAGAGAATGAACTAGAATCAGGTCAGAGGACAAAGTGCAGGCTCCTCTTTGGAGAATTACAGACCAGCTTTCAGCTTACTAAAGGAGTTATTCGCCAGTGAGGAGGGTCTAGAGTGGGTTGCACCTGGGACTCTTATTAGCTCAGTGAGGACTCTGAGCATAACCTGTACCCATGCTTACATTTCATACCTGCTGTGTCTCGTAGGTGTGTTGTTGTGTGGCAGGAATCCAGAATTTGCTGAGCTCATTTGCATGCTATGCCTACAGTGCCCTCTCAGGTATCTCTTAGCACAACCAGTGTCTGAGCTCTGGGAACTGAATGGAAGACTGCAGCTTGAGAGCACAGAGAGATTTTTGTCCTGTGGAAGATACAAGGAAGGCAGTTCTCAGTCTCCAGCACTGTTCTGAGTGGGGCCATGTTGTAAGGCTATCATACCAGGCACCCCGCTTGATGGGGTACACATCCTAAGTGACCGTGGCCTTTGTATTAGCACCGTTTGGTCCTCCACAGTCGCTGCTATGTCTAATAACACAACTCCGCACTCAGAGATTGCACTTTACAAGTGAAATCCTGGGCCTGCTTTGAAATCAATAGGAGTTTTGCCAATGATTTCATTGGTGCCAGGACTTCACCCTATACTTTCGAAATGCTGTATAGATGTTGTCTCAATAAATCTAGGCAAGTATTGTTAGCCCCTTTTTACAGAGGAGGCACTGAAGCATGAATTGGCTTGCTAATTCTGCGCAGTACAGGCACAGCTGGGGTGAGAACCCTGAATTCGACCTCCATCCAATAGGCCGCAGTGCCTCCATACTGTTGACTGCAGTTTACTCAGATAGGTTTGAGTACCAGTTGCATTGGTTTTGCACTGGGCAGACACTGATGCTTTGGAACCATTGCAGTTTGTCTTTGTATCATGCCTAGTACAAAGGGGTCCTAGTCTGTGATCACTAAACTATCCCTAAAAAACACCCCACTTGAAGTGTTCTGGGCTCCCTTGTCATGCTTATAAAACATGCAGATAAATTAACAGACCTGCCAATTCTGCCAGATCAGACCAACACAACTCAGAGACAGCTTAAATATAACGAACATTCATCAACCTCCCCATGCAGTCCCTGCCAGAGTCTCATACCATCACTGCCCTATCCAGGGACCATGTGGGCCGGCCGGGGCATGGTGGGAGGAAGAAAGTCACTTGCTGGGATCATCTGGGCATGATTCTCCTAATCAGTACTCTGCCACTCCAGGGCCTTGGGCACTGGTGGCACCTCAGTCTCTCCTGTTCTCTGCCAGGGCACACAACAATGTATTCCCCTAAGTACTGACATGCTTTGGTTTAACATAAATCCTTTGGCTCAATGTCAGGGTGAAATGCAATGGTCTGTGATATACAGGCTGTCAGGCTAAATGATCTAATGATCCCTTCTGGACTTAAGCGATATAAAACTAGGAAATATCATGTAGCTAACGGCAAGTTAAACCCTGCAGAGTGCCTGGAAGCTCAATTGTTTATTCACTGTTTGGGTGACAAGGTGGACAAGGTAGGGTTACCAGGTGGCTTCAAAAAAAATACCGGACACACTTGATCTCAGATGGAGGAGGGGGGCTGGCCAGGAGGATGGGTGTGTGGGGGGGAGGGGAAATAACTAGGAAATATCATGTAGCTAACGGCAAGTTAAACCCTGCAGAGTGCCTGGAAGCTCAATTGTTTATTCACTGTTTGGGTGACAAGGTGGACAAGGTAGGGTTACCAGGTGGCTTCAAAAAAAATACCGGACACACTTGATCTCAGATGGAGGAGGGGGGCTGGCCAGGAGGATGGGTGTGTGGGGGGGAGGGGAAATGGC